CCACGCCATTCCCAGATTCCACTTGAACCCTGGAAATTCGTGTCGCCACTGGCATTTCGTAGGCCACAAAGCGACGGGAACACCATATGTGGCTGTCCAGTTTGTCATTAAAAAGGCTTCTATGATAGGGGCTGATAGAGGCTTCCAGTACCTCTCTTAGGGCATGTCTCATGGAATGTCTGGATCTTGTGACACGATCTCGCCGCACATTTCCCTAATGAGAAGAACAAAAGGAGGGCAAAAGGTCTAAGTCGCTCCTTTTCAAGAGGCTTTCTAGACCCTTGGGCTTCCTTGTTTCACCAATTTGTCAATACCACTTTGACCTCCAGGAGCTGCACACAAGCATGTGCACATCTGTCGGTAGAAACGAGTACAGTGAGTACAGAAAGCGCTTCTTTCCCAAAAAAACACATACAACATCATAGAAACATTTCAGCACCAATCATTCTTATATCGCTTTCCCCTTTTGTTAGGATTGTGGTTGTATTGAGAAGGTCGTAAAACATCGGGATTGAACTGATCGAGAGCACAGGGCAGAACATCTGAAGAAACATCGGGTGGCGACAACAGAATAAACAGGGTGGAGGCCATCGCTTCTAGGTTGGTGGGTTTCTGATGTTCTTTTTTAGGAACAAGGACGCTACTAGGAACAAGTGCCTCGCTAGTAGTAACAAGTGCCTTACTAGCAGTAACAAGAAGCTATTTGAAACAAAGGGCATCGCTACTAGGAGCGAAAGGTAGGAACAAGAAGCTACTAACGTTAGGGGCTCCTGGCCTTACTGCTACGATCAAGGACGTTACAAAAGGGGCTCCTGGCATCGCTACGAACGGAGCAAGAAGGCTAGTAGGTTTCTATAGGTTTCTGCGTTCTTGTTACTTGTTCCGTTCGTAGCTTATTTTAATTAGATGCTAATTAAATTCTATATTTTGTTTCTACTAGCGAACATTGTTACTACTAGTAAGGCACTTGTTACTACTAGCGATGCACTTGCCTAGTAGCTTCTTGATATTAATTCTACAAGTATTTAGATTCTATTCTAATTCTTGTTTCTAATAGCTTTCTTCTTTTCGTTTTGGTAAACCAGTCCACCGTGCCTTGGGGCGGTCACTTCATGCTGCGCCGTGTGCGCCGCCCCAGCCTCTGGCATCTGAACACGAACTTCGGAACCGAGCCGAGTAACAAAGGCATCGCTAGTAGTAACAAGTGCCTTACTAGTAGTAACCAAAAGCTATTTTAATTAAGTTAAAATTAATAGCTTCTTGTTACTACTAGTAAGGCACTTGTAATTACTAGCAAAGGAATCTACTAGGATCTTTTAGCGCGCGCGCGCGCGCAGGGGGGGTAGGAAGCTACGAGGAAGAAGTGCATCGCTACGAACGGGGCTCCTGGCCTTACTACTAGGAGCGATCGGACGCTACGAACGGAGCAAAGAGCAAAGGGCAAAAAGGATCGAACATCGACAGTTTGTTCCGTCGCCTCCGTCACAATCAGTGCCCACCAACTCAAACATCTTCTAAGGCTGTGCGAAGCAAAGAAAATGCAGCGGAACGCATGAGCAGAACGATTTCAAGAAGCTACTAGGAACAAGTGCATCGCTTCTAGTAACAAGTGCCTTACTAGTAGTATCAAGAAGCTACTAGGGGCTCCTGGCCTTACTACTAGGAGCAAGAAGCTACTAGGAACAAGTGCATCGCTTCTAGTAACAAGTGCCTTACTAGTAGTATCAAGAAGCTACTAGGGGCTCCTGGCCTTACTACTAGGAGCAAGAAGCTACTAGGAACAAGTGCATCGCTTCTAGTAACAAGTGCCTTACTAGTAGTATCAAGAAGCTACTAGGGGCTCCTGGCCTTACTATAGAGCGCAGAACGATTTCAAGTTCTCGGAGGTTCTCTCCATCTTCGTTTTCTTGAAACAAGGACCCTACTAGTAGTCTTTGGATGCTATTAGGTGGAGGCCATCGCAAGTAGGTTGGAGGCCATCACTACTAGGAACAAAGACGCTAATTACTAGGGGCGCTCCTGGCCTTACTACTAGGAGGTTCTCGGAGGTTCTGCCTGTTTCCACATATTGAACATACTCTTCTTGCAACCAATACGTGTTTGGTGGAAGTCACGGCCAATTGCAAAACTTGAGAGCGGATGAACAGTGTTTTGGGAGTTTGAGAGATGGCCAGAGATCAAGAAATGATAGGGTGCTCCCGTAGACAATGTAGACTTTTGAGTCTATGAGTAACTTGCACATGGTCTTTTTGAGGTGGAGGCCATCTCTATTAGGTTGGAGGCCATCGAGTGTGGGAGCAAATGAAGCTTCAGCGATCCAAAGCCGAGCCATCTGGACTCTCTCACCGATGCTCGGTGGCGCCCTTTTTTGGTTCTCGATGCTCGGTGGCACGAGCAGCGACCTGGGAGCGACGTCGGCTCAAGGGCACAAGAAACGCCATGTCTTTGCAAAAACGAAAGCTCTACGCTAGTAGGAACAAGTGCCACGCTACTAGTAACAAGTGCCTTACTAGTAGTAACAAGAAGCTACTAATTGCAAAACGAAAGCTCTACGCCTCCAAGCTACGAACGGAGCAAAGAAGCTACGTTCGGGGCGATGCCAGGAGCCCCGAACGTAGCGAACCTTGCTACTATGTAGCGGAACATGTCAAGAAACACATTGTGTTTCAGATCGTTTGCTTATCTTTTACTTTTCTCCTCCTTGAAAGCAGTTAATCCAAACTTTTTGTTACAATATCATCTTTCTTTCTCAACTTACTGGCCCCTCTTAGATAACTGTATCTCTTCGACCATTTTTCTTCAACTGTCTTGAGTCTCCTTCCTTCAACTCTATTGTCTTTTAACAACAAAAGCAATAATTTCCATTGTCACGCTGTGAAGTGCAATGTGTTGTGCATGTGTTGAACCCTTTCTTGTTGATGCCTCTCTTGAACAGCTTTGTTCCCCTTTCCCGTGCATCTCTTGGTCCATCTTTCTCCTCCGTTTTTGCTCGCGCTTCTTTTGGCAACAGCAGTGCCTCGAAACCTGAATTAAAGAACAAAAACACCCCAAAAAAATCCGACAAAAAACTCGATATCATTTGTGCAAATCTCTGGTGATCAGTCTGTCCATTCTTTCGTGCAAATGTCAAGTGAAGCAGCAAGTGAGTGCACGCAAGGCAGCAACGTTCGAGCCCAGTCTCCTTTGATGACTGCCTGTGTCCCAAACTACTAGTAACAAGTGCATCGCTACTAGGAACAAGTGCCTTACTACTAGTAACAAGTGCCATACTAGTAGTAACAAGAAACTATTAATTTTAACTTAATTCTAAATAGCTTTTTGTTACTACTAGTAAGGCACCTGTTACTACTAGCGTGGCAGTTGTTACTACTAGGAAACAATGTTGCCTGTGTCCCAAACAGGTGTCCAAACTGCGTTCACGGGGCGTCGACTCGATGTGAGCGACTCCGTCTGTTCGATCCGAGCAAAGCCGTGTTGAACAGCGAGTTGTGTAGCATTTTGGGAGGCTCTGGAGTCCAGTTGGTTCTCAAAGAAGAGAGACACAGCACATTGTGAAACTTGTTTTTAAAACACACTGACACAGCACATGATTACCTCGATTCTTGTTTTTTTCGACTCAAGATGCTCGAGAAGACCAGGTCTTGAGGTTGCTGTGATACGTTTCGGGGCGCTTGAAGTTGCAATGTGAAGTTATACACAAAGGCATGTCCAAGACACGCGCATCTACAATCTACAAGAAAGGACAAGGACAAAGGAATTGCAAACATAAATAAATCAAAGAAACATGAACGGTTAAAGAAAAAGAGGACAAAGGTCAGCAGGAAAACAATAACAACATGGAAGAAACAATAGACAAAGGAAGATAGGTCTAGAGAAAACTGTTTCAAGCACTCAAAGGTTATGTCTATAAGGTACTTATAGGTTGCTGGCCATTGCTAATAGGTTGGAGGCCATCGTTGGTAGGTTGGAAACCATTGCTATTAGGTTGTCTTACTGTTTTCAAACCAAATGCTGTGCAACAGGACGGCACCATATTCTGAGGTCTCAACCTTCCACTCTCAGGTGAATGCGGCGCTCATGGAGTTCACAATACAACCATTCAATCCACTCTTCAAATCCATTCTCCTTTGGCGTCCTTGCTCCTAGTAGTAAGGCCAGGAGGCCCCTAGTAGCGTCCCTTCTCGGTGGTTTTCGAGAAGGTTCCAATCTCATAACAAAGGAGAACAGCAGTGAGGCCGATGAGGACACCCGCCAAGCGCGCTCGAAGCACCGGCGGGCAAAGCGCTTCGAGCCCAGCTTTGGAAAAACTCCCAAAGAAGAACACCAGAAAGATCACCTCCAAAAAATGCTTAGGTTCAAACCAACAACTATCACAAAGATCACTCAAAAGGCAACAATATGAGCCCATATATAGAGCGCCCTTGTAAGATCTCATTCTCCCAAATTCCCGAACAGTTAATTACCTTCCAAATTCCAGGCTTTTAACAAAGAAAAACAGCTGGAGAAGCGTTTCTTTACAGAAGGATCACCGAAGGCTCCACCGAGTGCCCAAGTGGGACCGAAGTGGTGTGTGTTGCACAGACGGAAGGGAAGAGTGCCGTGGTCGTACTGAGAAGGCTCAAGAGGAAAAGGGCCATGAAGCAAATTTGTAGGGCTCCTGGCATCGCTACGAACGGAAGAATAAAGCTACGCATCGCTACGAACGGGGCTCCTGGGCTTACTACTAGGAGCAATGTTCGCTACGAACGGAACAAGGCTCCAGCTCCTCCTCCAGCTGCTCCAGCTGCTGCGAGTTCCATGGGTTCACAAAAGCTGGTCCAAATGAAAGCGATGAAGCTGCCCAGCATGTCTCCACAGATCATCAGCAAATAAAGACTTAAAGGAGACGTTTTTGTGCCAGTTTCATCTGCCAGGACTGGAAAGAGCCCTGCAAAGAAGTAGCTAAACATTTGATAGCCTTGGCAGGTGGAAAGGTTTTTTGGGCTTCGAACGCTTTTCTTTCATGCGCATCTGATTTCATGACGTGGGTGCAAACTTCCTGTCGCATCATAGAAGGTCTCCTCCAAGTCTCTTCCTTTACTACCAAATATTTGTTCTTCATATAGGCGCATCTTCATGCAAATGACGCATTTTCCCTCAAAAGAGCCTCAATCTGTAAAGAACCCATCCTCTCTCCAAATTTGAGTTCGCAAGGTCTGCTCCTGAATTTTCAGGCTTCATGGAACCCTAGATCGGAGGCCATCGCTATTAGGTTGAAGGCCATCGCTAGTAGGTTCCTTAAAGTCTTTTTCTTAAAGTTTTCACCTATATTCAGGCTTCATGAAACCATTCCTGAAATGGTTCTCATCGTGCTCACCCTATATCAATGGATATGTGATGGTATGTACTTTCCATTGGGGATTACATTTTTTGACCAATGGGTGGATCAAAAGGGTAAAGGGATCAACAAAAATGGGAGCCCCTTTCCATCGTGTAGGGCTACAGTAAGAGTCCGTGTAAGAATACTTTGTAAGGGTCCGTGTAAGAATAGCCTTCCTACATAGAGAGCCTTTCCTTATAGCAATTTTGTCCTGCTGCTATCCAAACGTTATCCTTTACAGAGCCTTCCCCCGCTTGTTTACATGTGCCATCGTTCATATAACTTGCATCTTCATACAAGCATCCTACATTATCCACATACAAGCTAGTAGGTTGGAGGCCATCGCTACTAGTTTGGCGGTCATCGCTGTTAGAAACAAAGAAAAAGGAAAAGGACGATTATGTGAATCAAACATAATCCCCCAAAGGGGTCTCTGCCTGTAGAGGAACGGTGCAAGCCTTTGCAATACATCGTAGGCGTAGGTATATCTATCCTTTACAAAGATCCTATGCTGCTTGGTGACAGGTTTCGCTTTTGATACAAACATAATTGCAAAGGAACCTTCCCGATTGAAAACGATCCACGTCTACGTCTTCACAAGTGTGGTAGCTCATCCACAAGCTTTCCCTATTTACGGGGTGAGACATGTCCCCTCCCTTAGCCTGTTTGAAATTGTCCGATCATGAAGGTCATGGTCTCACTGCAGAAGTATCTTAATGCCAGGAGCCCCTAGTAGCGTCCTTGCTCCTAGTAGCGATGCCAGGAGCCCCTAGTAGCTATCAGGTTCTCTGATCCATGAGCTTCACGAGACTTTAGACTCTCCAGCTGAGGTCGCAGCAAAGGACAGCAGGGAAGGCGAGAAAGAAGTGCTTTGTCTGCATCTGATCGGCCTGACCTGTAGTGTTTCTGCGCACTTTGAAATTCTTGTAAGCTTCGGCCAAATCTGCAATGTTTCGAGGTGCATCTGCATCAGCATCATCCGTTTGAGCTGTCTCCAAGTGCATTGCAACTCGGCGATGGTATGCCCAAATGAGTAGCCCAATGAGAAAGCAGAAACTCGAGGGCACCAAGTAAAAGGCGAGGCGACTGAGCAAGGAGCTCTTAGGTCCAAAGCCCGTAAATGGGATGGTCAAAATGGGAAGTAGAGCCCCCGAGAGAAAACCCAACTGTACCGAGCCATTGCGGTTCAGTGGCTTCGTCAGTGCGTGGCTGGTATTCAAGAGGATGGCATTGAAAAAGCTCTGCACAGAGCCCAAGGTCAACATGCTCATTTCACTCTCGCAGAAGGCCATGAAGAAATTCACCACTGCCAAGAACAAAGACGAGAGGACCAATCGACGGAAGATGGAAACGAGTCGTTTCTGAAACGGGACCGAGATCTCGACCTCGACCTCCTCTCTGCGCAAGAAGAGATGTGTAGCCACTGCGATGCCATTCCCAAGGAGCATCTCCTGTATTGCCACAGCACAGACAGCATGGCGTCTTGGAAAGAGCATGTAACTACACAAGTAGTTACTAAATACGACCGAAAACCAGCCGCAAAGACTGTTTCACAGAACATGTTGCCCATCCTTGGTGAAGAAACTCCGGTCCTGCCATGCTGCCATGTGCGATATGAAGAAACCCTAAACAGCTAGTCTTAAAGAAACGATGAACATGTGGTTATATATTGCCTTATCGAACACATATGTTTAAATTCCCTTGAATGCAAACAAAACAAATTAAGTCACATTCAACACTTTTGTTGTCCAAAGTCCGTCCTTGCTTTGGTGAATGATAAAACCCATGGACGAATAAAAAGATGTGAACGATACGCCGGGTACAGCGCCCAGCAGCCCGGCAATCATTGAGAGCTCCATGGCAGCGCCTCAGCGCAATTCGTCGAGAAACGCACTCCGTCGTCCGCGTCAACTGGAGCCTTCATCACCCGACAGTGTGACCTCCCTGCGCGAGGTGACTCGATCTAGCGATGGCCTCCAGCCTAATTGCGACGGCTTCCAACCTAAGAGCGGCTTTCAGATGCTTTCAGCATCACATACCAAAGAACAAGCCAGAGGTTGGGAAAGCCTGGTGCGAAGACGAATGGCGCTGTTGGCGCTCTGGGCGTGGTGTGGCATGGCACGGGGGGGGTCTCGCGAAGGAAGTCTTTCAGGACCCCACACAAAGGCATCCCATGGAGGCAGTCTTGGGTTGGAAATTCTGTGTACAAAAAGACCCTCAAACTTCCAGGACCGCTTCCAAAAGTGAAAAAAATAGTAGCCTTATTGTTGCTAGTAGTAAGGCCAGGAGTTCCGTTCGTAGCGATGCCCTTTGTTCCTAGTAGCGTCCTTGCTCCTAGTAGTATGGCCAGGAGCCCCTAGTAGCTTCTTGCTCCTAGTAGTACGGCCGGGGCTCCTAGTAGCGTCCTAGGATGCGGCAAAATGTTCCTTTTTCCTACGAGATATTGTCTGTGCCGGTGCGGCCGCTTCAATCGATGCACCACTCCTGCTAGTGACTCAACATGTTGCAACATGTTGCAAATGCTTTGGCCCAAAGAGTTTTCGATTCTTGCTTTTATCGCTACTAGGGACTCCTGGCCTTACTACTAGGAGCAAGAAGCTACTAGGAACAAAGGGCATCGCTACTAGGAGCAAGGACGCTACTAGGGGCCATTGCTCTTAGGGTGGAGGCCATTGCTATTAGGTCAGTGAGTGCGCATTCAGATCCCTTTAGGGGTGAGTGCGCTATTAGGCTTTATAGGCGAATGCGCAGCTGGCAGGGCTGTGGACAAGGGCCGTCAATGTGACGACGGAATAGCGGGTGGACTTGGATGTGAAGGGAACTAGTGACATAACTACAAGGACAGTGCTTCTGGGATTCCACACCACATGGATTTACATGGTTTGATTTGGTGTGGCAGCCCAGAAGACAAGCCAGAAGCGACCAAATTCTATCATCGAACATCTTTAGACATCCTGTCTCTTCTCATCTTCCTTAAGATCCAAGTGCATCGCTACTAGTAACAAGAAGCTACCAGACCTTTTCTCCTTGTTTCCCTTTTCTTGAGACCTTCAGACTTAGGATAGAGAAGTAAGGTGACTGTCTATGGGACTCTTGGTGCGTTCTCCCACCTTGTTTCCATATGTGGAGTGCAATCTTGCCTCAAGTCCGGTTTTCACAGTGCTGACTTGACCTTGCGAAAGAGATGATCTCATGGATTTCAAAAGGATGATTTTGTCTTTGAATGTCTCCCTTCTCCCAGGTTTGAACAAGGAAGGCTATTGATGATTGATATTGGCTGGCCAATGGCGGCCAATGGCAACCATGGTGCAACCCTGTTGTTCCTTTCGTTCCTTTACTGTCTAGACAGGTTGGAGGCCATCGCTCGTAGGAACAAGAAGCTAGTAGTAACAGGTGCCACGGTAGTAGTAACAAATGCCTTACTAGTAGTAACAAGAAGCTAGTAGTAACAGGTGCCACGCTAGTAGTAACAAGTGCCTTACTAGTAGTAACAAGAAGCTAGTAGTAACAGGTGCC